TTTTTTCCGTAGAGTGAGTCAACCCAAAAAGTGAGAAAAGGGAGCAGCTGTGCTACTCAGGATTGAGACCTGGGATGTCCAGCTCGGGCCACTACCCCGCATTCTCAAAGTTTGCCAAGAGACGGTCTCTTCCTATCTCTACCCCAGGCGTAGTCCTGGCGTAGTCCTGAGGCACCAGTGGTGCCCAGGCCGGGAGCGGGCAGTGGCTTGGATGCACAAAACTCTCCAGACTCCACGACAGTTGACATGAACGGTTCTGTGAGAAGTTGTTGAACTTACTGCAAAGGTGTCCTGTGCCATGGCAGCGCTGGCCGACCGCCAGCATTCTCAGAGGCAGGTGATGGCAGGCTAAGAAAAGAAATCCTCGCCGTTCTAGGAGAGCTGTGCAGGACTGGGGCGCCCCTGCAAAGAGAGGTTTGGGAGAGCTGGTTGTTTTTGCATGCTTCGGCGGTTCAATCCGGATTGGGTTGTGCTGCTCCAGGTCGAACAGCTGCTGGGCGTCCTCTCCCCGGACCTCCTGGCCACACGAGCGAAACCGCAAGAAGGCCGGTACAAGTGAGGGAACTTGACTTGCTGGCAGACATGCTCACAGATATGCAGCTGCATGTGTAAAGTGTATGGTGAGTGCCGTAAACCGTCTGTTCGCCCCACGGGCATCTTGGTTTTCCCGTGGCTGTAGGACTCTTGCAGTGTTCATCCGCTTGTCACCCCTGCACCCCACCCCCCCTACAGTCATAGCTGGACATATTGCATAGTGCGATTTTGCTTCGGAAGTGACATGGGTGCTGAACGAAAGTGGCTGGCGCCTTTGGTAAAAAGAAAGCAGTGTGCAACAAGAGGGACAGGTGACACAAGGATACCACATGACAAGAAGGTTCTCTGGTCGTACCGACGCGAAGCAAGTTCGAAAGGAAGAAGGTGGGTACTGTAGAATCATAGTGTTGCCAGCGTGGACAGGGCAACAAGCATCAAAACATGCGAGCAAGACATGCTCATGTCAAATCCCGCAAAGACGTAGCTGGCCGCAGTCATGCTGCACTTGTTCGACATCGATCATCAGATGGTGCAGCACAGGATTGCCTGCAACATTTTCTATAAGCACAAAGCACACCCATGTGCCATAATGTGCCTCTCTCACTCCCAAAATGCAACTGGAGCTTGGAAGGTAGAAGGCGTTTCAAGGGCACATTTCCGTGAGCTACCAAAAGAGTTAGGATCTCACATCTTCTCTGTGACTTTGGTGACTATGGCTCGCTTCTTCCTGTCTGCAACAAACAGCTCAAGCATAAGCAGTGCGTGGGCGGGTTCTGGAGCCCTGTCCATAACAGCTCGCCATGTACACAGAAACCTCGTCCATGCGCACTGCACCCTCTGGCTTCGTATGCCTCTCCGAAGTCCGGCAGAACATGCCATGCAACAACAGTGGTCTGAGAAACTCCGCTCCCTTTCTCTCTCTCCCCTCTCCTTCACTCGCTTCCAGCTATATAAGCACAAATCGAATTGATTTCTCTGCTTAAAAGTTTTTACATGAAGTTTGCACTCCAATGCCATCCCCCATCATCCCCCCCATCTCGTCGTCACAAGTGCTAGAAGATTCAGGCGAAAACGGATTGCCAAAGGAACCGCAAGGGCCCCAGGAGACCTGCTGAGAGGCCAGGTGACACAGAACATGAAAAGAAGACTCGCCCACGAACTACTTCTGGTCTTCGGGCCCCAATGCAGCTCTCAGCAAGCCCTAGTCGCTTGAGGCAGCTGCGTCGTAAGGACAGCGTGGCAATCGGCTCGGAGTACGGATGCGAAAGCTGGTGTATTTGCTGGGCTTATTATGGGCTTGCCACTCGCCGCGCTGGCAGATGAGCTGCCTGTCCTATGAGACTTACCTCTTCGGCTGCAGTGAGAAGAGCCTATTGGAGGTGACCGGGCGAGCTTGGGCCAACTACTTGTAGGGTAACTAGCGAGTTGGCGAAGCCAGTGTGCTTGCCAGGCCCGAGAGAGCAAGGACGTCGGTGCCAGGGGCTTATCTCAAGGGCAAGTAAGAAGGCACCCAAATATGCACAAAGCTGAAAAAAGGATTTGTGCTACAAGCGACCATCACAAGGCACTCAGCCCCGTGGCGGAGGCACACGAGGCGCCCAAGTCTGGGCCCTCGCCAATCGGCCCTTCCGAGAGGTGCGACAAAGTGTGACCATGTGTGACCTGTGTCAACTTGGGCGGGAAAGGCCGCTGTCATGTGTTGATTGATGTTGAAAGGCACCTCCGCTCAACAACAGCGACAGTGGTGCCACTGCTTCAGTCGCGGCTGTTGCAGAGGAGGGGTGAATTGTGGTGAATTAAATCCGATGTAAGCAATACCAACACCGCGTTGCCATCTTGAAGATGAGATTTATACCAGGTTCTTCTTTTTGTGGGCTTTTGCATCTTGAAGTAATTAGAGGGCCCGACTTGCGATGTCCTGGTGCCTTGCAAGTCCGCCTCCCTTATTTTTCCAGGCGTCGCGGCAGCTGATTGCCTCCGAATCTCCGAGATCTCACTGAGATGTCCTGTTGCATCGCGAAAGGACCTGAAGAGCGCTGCTAAGCAGCCTCGAGTTGGTTCGAACCCGCTTGAGAATTCAGATTTTGGAGGCCAGATGCCCAAAGGGGCCAAGAGCAGCCTCAGGTTTAGCAGCAGATGTGCCGAGGGAACACTCATGGAGAAAATGACGTCGCCTGCCACTGGCATCCCGTCGGGAAACTCCACACGTGTCCACGTTTTCTGGTTCCCCTGAGAGTTGCAGCTTGTGAGCGTTCAAGGGTTTGCTAGCGCCTATCATCATAGTGGACCCAGTGCTTTCACGCTCAGAACCAAATAGGGCGAAGCCAGAAGTCTCGCATTTTGCAGTGCTGTCCATATCAGGTAATAAGCCTACGTTGTAAATGCAGCTGACGCAACTGTTTTGGGTGATGCTGTTGACGCCACGACGCGTGTAAGTGGCAGTCTGTTCCTGCATGCCTGGACATTCATGGGCACTTGGCAAAAGTTTCTGGAAATCACCATGTCCCGACATAGAATCCCGCACAGGAGCGCAAGGTCCTTTCTGACAGGCGCAGCTTCTGAGCCACCGGAGGACGTCTCAATCTTAGCGTTTGGGCATTTGTTTAGAGTTGCAGGGCATGATGCACACCATCCATCCTGGAAGAAAAGCTTTCGCGCCGTCTTTGTTTGACATGAAGAGAGGTTTAATTCATGCTCATTTGGTCTCATAGAAACTGCTCGTGCATATGATGCTTCAATATGTTTCAAAGGTGCTGGTGCCACCATCAGTCCACCCATGATTTTAGGATTGGGGCTTGCCTGCTTGGTGGGTCACTTCAGGTTGCCGGTAGAACCTTTCAAATTTTGACCTAAACCAAACCCATCTAGCCCAGTTTATGCAGGGTCTATTTTCACAAATTTCGAAAATGTTTTTCTGCGACATGAGGTTGTTGGGATGATCCGCGATTATCACAAGTGTTTCTTCCGGATGTTGTTTCTTAAGGGTTCGTGTTCAGGAAGGCTTGAGGCCCTGTGGGCCTTGGGCTCCAGGAATCTTAAAGAGCCAGAGTCCAGAAAGCTGCCTTATGGAATTTCACTATGAAACGAGGCCCCAAACAAATTTTGTGATAGGTAGTCCAGGGGCAAATTTGCTGCGTCACCCTCCAGAGTACACAGGCCCGCGGGGGGGGGGGGGCCTTAGCAAGGCAGGAATATTTTTTTGTTCCGGATGATTGTTTTTTGTTTTTAAGGGTTTGTGTTTAGGGTTCAAAAGTATCCACTTCCGGAGTGGGGTTATGTTTTGCTGCCAACACTGCGCAGCTCCCCTGAAAGATTCGGTGCTTTGGAGGCATGACGTGCCCCGCACTTGGTGGGTTGCGGTGATAGGAAGCCACGCGAATGGCCATCAACGAGGGTAGTGCAGTTCTTAGTAGCCATAGCCAGGAACATGACTCCACTGCTCCTCTGTTCGCCTTGGAGACCTGGAAATTCAGCGAGATGCGGACTTGAAGAGGACGCTTCAAACCACAAGCTAAGATATGCGTGCAGAAAGTCTACTTTGCTCGAGGCATCAACGCATTTCCTGCACCCTGTCTGCTTGCACCAAAAGCCCGTCTCTTCCTGTAATTAGCTCTTGGAGATGATCCTGTAATTAGCTCTTGGAGATGAAGTCTACACTTGCATTTCTCTGGCTCCCTGTACCCAGAGCCCGTCTCTATTGATCGGTGGGCCTGCAATTCGTTGGGGTGTGCGCGCGCATGAGCCTTTGCTTGTGTATATGGCTTGGAGTTTATTCAAGTTGCCAAGTCATTGCTATTGCTGATGATTATTCGAGGCTTCATCAGCCCACGAGGCTAGTCATGTCTTTGTGTGGTGTGTATGTACAACTGTTCGCTTTGACATGTGTCTGCGCGTGGGCATGAATCTACATGATCGTTCGTTCTCGAATGGGTGGATAGATGGTCGGACACTTAAATTAACTTGGTCCGCTCATCACACAGTGAAAAAGCGTACTCATGCTATACAATGCAACAGGGGCTATGGTTACTCTACAAAGTTGTTATCTTGGGTGTGAGTTGAGCCTGCTGCCCCTTGCTGTTGCGGGTGCAGGTATCCAGTGCTATCACTGTCCAACGTTGCACCGCGCGGCTGGTCAAGAGCTGGCCGTGACTTGTCGAGAGATGTGGTCTTTGTAGTCCGCAATTGCGTGAAGTGCTGGGCATGAGTGCCTTGATTCAGATGAGCGTCGCCAGTTTTCGGCTCCGTACCTCATTGACCTAGCTGCCAGCCAACATGTGCGCACCCCCGGACGGTCCGCTCTTACGCACGGCGTCGGGAGAACCAGATGCTCCGCCAACACAAGCCGCAGAAGCTCCTGCTGAAAAAGTGGCAGAGGTGAACGAGCATCATGAATCGGTTTGCAGCTTGCGGCATATCATCAACCGCTTCCTGTTGCCAATGACCGTTGGGGGCCTGAATGGATTTCCATGGTCCGGGGTCGGCCTCCACTTCCGAGAGCAGGAGTGGGCGCTTTGGCGCTTGGGGCTTTGCAGCTTCCTGGGCTTCGCCGTCCGCATGATGGTGGGGACATCGATGCTGAAGTGGGGCTTCTGGCCGTGCCTTCCCATCTGTGTGGTCCACCTCTTGTGTTTGATCCCCGTCATCATGAACCCAAATTGGGAGATGGCTGTGATGCTACAGATGATCGCCTTGCTGGGCTTCGATTCGCAACTTGCCAACGACTTCTTGGTCTTCTACAACTTCCGAAGCTCCCAGGCCCTTGCGTTGCGGGCAACATCCCAGAAGCTGGCATCATTGAGCGGTGCTACGCTTCCGGCTCCACCTTTGGAGGAGCCACGCGCCTGAAAAGCTTAGACCCAAAAAGGGCCTTTCTTTTGAAGACCGCAGGGCCCCTAAATCCTAGAAACTTTAAACCTGTCAGAAACTGGTGTAGATCGACTTTGCACAGCCCATCTGCTCAGGTGATCTTCGACTTGGGCTGGCCTGGGATGGTGGGATACCATGTCGCGTTGCAGTCCTTGCAGCTCTTCCTCTACGCCACGGAGCCAGCCGTTTGGAACTCCTACCGTGAAGCCATGCAAGGCTGCTGCTTCTGCTGCTGCTGCTGCTGCCGCAGGCGAAGCCAGGACCAGGTCGTCCCATTTCAACTGGAAGTTGAGAAAGGCACCCCGGGCCCGGCTCCCACAGGCATCGTGCCGCAGCCCGACTCGGCCCATCTTCAGGTCCCAGGTCCGAGCGGGCACGGCGGGCATGGGCATGGCCGCATCTCCTTCATGTCACAGGGCAGCGAAGCTTCTGCGCTGAAAGTTCAGGCGCAGCTCTCCTTGATGTCCCGATCCTCTTTCAGCTCCAAGGCGTCGGCCCTCTCGACCCTATCCCATGGGAAGGTGGAGAAGGCAGAGACTTTAGACCTGAACACTGAGCAGAAGGGCCTGCCACGTGACCTTTGTTTCCCGGCCTTCCTCATCTGCCTGGCGCCTTCAACCACCAGATGACCTACATGAGCCCTAGTCTAAACTCCTTCAAAAGGGATTTTGTGTAGGGGCTGCTCTATAGCAGGGGGGTTATGGCTCATCAGGACGGAGTGGTCGCTATATGCGGTCTTCTTCCATGAGCAGCATGGCTGGACCTCGGCGACCTGGGCAGGCAGGCGGCTCGAAGAATGTAGGCCAAGGAGAAAGGAGGGGGCGTTCTTGATCACGGGTCTACATTACCCCTTTTTTTCTCCTCTTGGGCCTTGAGGTCCTTGAAGCGTTTTTTTCCCGAAAGCATCGCGAAGGGTTCTTCCGTGCGGAGCCCTCTGACACAACAACATAGACTGAAGTGCATAGAGTCAAGTGCATAGAGTGAAGAGCTCGGACCCAACAACATAGAGTGAAGTGCATAGAGTGAAGTGCAAAGAGTCTAGTGCAAGAGTGAAGTGCACAGAGCAGAATTTACGAGATTTCAGAACAATAGAGTAGAATTTGCGAGATTTTTAGTAGAATTTTAGTACAATTTATCAGAATTTACGAGATTTTAGTAGAATTTTGCACCCAGTCCTAGATTGTCTGAATTAAAATTACTCTTTTTAAGGCGGCGGGCTGGGTTGACGTCGTCAATCGGGATTGCAACCCTCTGCGGGTTTCGGCGTGGTCGCGGTGCTAAAACCGTCGTTTTTTACGTTTCTTGCCATGTGGTCGCGGTGCGCAAACCCTCTTTTTTTTACGTTTCTGTCTGGCCGCGGACAACCCTCTGCGGGTTTCGGCGTGGTCGCGGTGCTAAGACCCTCGTTTTTTTACGTTTCTTTCTGGCCGCGGACAACCCTCTGCGGGTTTCGGCGTGGTCGTGGTGCTAAAACCATCGTTTTTCGCACATTTTTTCGTGGTCGTGTCAACCCTCTGCGGGTTTCGGCGTGGTCGCGGTGCGTTTCGGCGTGGTCGCGGTGCCAAAACCATCGTTTGTTTGCGTTTTTGACATACAAACGCAAACCCTCTGCTGCGGGTTTCCGCGTGGCAAAGGTGCTAAAACCCGCGTGTTTGTTCTTTTTTTGTGACCGAAAACGTCCTTTGTAGTACAAAAGTAGTACTGTATAGGGCCGGCTCTCAAAATCCTCCTCTGTAGTACAAAAGTAGTACTGAATAGGGCCGCCGCGCGCTTCTAGGACAGCCGTCGAAAACCTCGCAAATATCGTGTGACTCGAATTCCGGGATATCGTGGGACTCGAATTCCGGGGCCTCGAAAACCTCGCAAAAATCGTGGGACTCGAGTTCCGGTGTGTCGAAACCCTCGCAAAAATCGTGGGACTCGAATTGCGGGATGTCGAAACCCTCGCAAAAATCATGGGGCTCGAAATCCGGGGCCTGGAATTGCGAGATGTCGAAACCATCGCAAATATCATGGGACTCGAATTGCGGGGTGTCGAAACCATCGCAAATATCGTGGGACTCGAATTCCGGGGTGTCGAAACCCTCGCAAATATCGTGGGGCTCGAATTCCGGGGCCTCGAAAACCTCGCAAAAATCGTTGGACTCGAATTCCGGGGTGCCGAAACCCTCGCAACTATCGCGGGGCTCGAATTCCGGGGTGTCGAAAACATCGGAAATATCGTGGGACTGAGTCTGAATGCCATGCAGTTGAAGTGCATCGAAGTGCAGTGCACAGAGTCTAGAACCATATATATATATATATATAAGTGCATACAGTTGTCCAAGTGCATACAGCTCAAGTGCATCTCAGCCTCTTTCTTGGACAGTTCTGGTTGAATGTGATGCTTCTGCTTTGCGTGCTTGCCTTGTATATGTACGCGACGCCTCGGCTACGACGCTTGGAAGGCTCCCTGTCCCGTGCTCAGGCTTTCGCGCGTACGTTTTGCCAGGGTCTTCCATGTCCTTGCGTGACAGGTTGTTGCGGCCTGGCACGGCTGATGTGGAGAAGGCCCGCGGTTTTGGTTACGGCGCCGCGGGTGTGATGTCCGCAAGATTTTGGCCATGTTTGTTTCCGCGCAGGGCATGTCCCGTAGTATCTGTATGACCAGGGAGCTTTGCAGTTCTGTTCTGTGAGTTTGGTTGTAATAAGCTTCGTCGAGTGATCTTGCAACTCTAGCTTCTCTTGCTGCTTTGCTTGTAGCTTTGGCCCGAGAGGCGCTGTTCAGTGAAACCTCGGTGCTAGCTTGGACGGTGCGCTGTCTTCTAGGTCCAGGTATGCCATACACCGGCGGCGACGCCATCCACACGCTGCGGCGTGGTTTCCGTGCTAAAGGTGCAGGTTGGCTGCGCCCCGGGGGGGGGACTGCCGCGGAGATGCGTCAGCTTGCTGCCGCTGCGGGCATACCGCAGCGCTGGCGCGAGCAAGCGAAGTAGAGAGGAGCTTGTTCACGCTCTCTCGCAGTGCGTTTCCGAGCAGGAGGCGTCATGGGGAAGGCCTCTCTTTTGTGCTTTTCTTGTGTAAGGTTTGACGCAGGGAAGTCCATGCTCGGCTGGACAAGCCGGTAGAGCTGCTGGTGGACTTCAAGAGCAGAAGCCCCCGGCCACCAGTCTCTTGAGGAGACGCCCTTGAAATTGAAGCGCTAGGGACATTTACTGTGAGGAATGTCTTTCTTATGATTATGAGACGGGTGCTTCAGTTTCTGTCTCTTCATCCGGAAACTTCCAGAGACAGGAGTACGCCAGCCCAAGACAAAAAAAGAAACATCACTGCTTAGATTCCTGCCTGCAGCACGAAAGCGTATGTGCCGTCACACATTAAACCGGATGCTCTACATGCGAGCGTGCTGAGTTCTTGCTTCCTGAAAGGCGCTCTGGACTATGAGCTTGGAGTTCAGAGCGACTGCCGATGATGCTCATGGCTGACGGCTCTCGCGTTGGATGTTTTTGTCTTTTCTTTCATGGCTTCGCGTGGATTGGTGCGCAGCCGAGTCGGGTGCACACAAGTGAAGTTCCTACACTTGCTCAAGTGCATTGAGTTCAACAATGTCGAGTTCAAGTCCGTTAACCTCGTATGTAGAGAATTCCAATGAAGTGTATAGAGTTGACCGCAAGTGCGTGGCATTCAAGTCAACACACTTGAATGCCACGCAGTTCAAGTGCATACACGTGCAGTGTACAAGTGCAGTGTACAAGTGAGTATGCAACCGTGTAAGTTCATACACTTGTCCAAGCGCATACAGTTCGAGCGCAGAGAGTCAAGTGCATGGAGTCAACGCGCGGCAAATCGATGCTTTCGGGCCAATCGTCCTCTAGTTTTTCCTCCCAATTCTCTCAGAAGCCAAAGTAAGCAAGCGAGGTGTTTGTCAGACCGCCGAGGACATCGCAAGGGATTGCGGAGAGTGAAGACCTGGGTCACGGAGGAGGACGCCCGGCCTCGGCTTCCGTCCTTGGAGGAGGAAGTGGAGCAAGAGAGCTTTGAGAGCAACCTCGAGGTGGAGCAAGGGAGGTTTGACAGCAACGGATCATGGAGGAAGCTGGAGATGCTGGAGCAAAAAGACTCGATGCGGAAGTGGAGAACGCAAGGTTCGACAGCTAGCGCTCCAGGAGGAATGTGGGCAAATCAGGCAGTAGTGAAGGCACGGCCCGACGCAGACTGACGCAGTAATTAATTTAAGTTTTCATCTACACTGGAAGCCTTACCCATGTGTGGTCACCTTATGTTTAAAGCTGTAAGAGACCTCAGATTTTATCCTGCCTGCAACTCCCTTTTTCCTGCCGCAATGTGTGCCAAAAAGGGCACGCGCTGCGGGGCGTTGTGGGCAGGATTGTCTAGTGACGCATCCGCAGGCGGATGGGCGAAGGCTCATTTGCCAGTAGCCATGGCACGCGTGCCGAGGCAAGACCCCAAACAAATCTTAACAAGAGAAGGCGAAAAAGTGGAATCGCTGTTTCCGAAATGAGGGGCGCCGTATTGAGGTTAGCCAGGTTTAGGATTTAGGGTTTAGGGTGTGTAGGTCGTATTCGCCCGCTCGGGTGTAAAACACCCCGAGCCGCTCGCGCTAGCTTAGCTCAGCGACACCCACCCTAGACCCACCCAGACTCAGCTCTTTTTCAGCTCTTTTAGGGTTTAGGGTTTCTACCCCGGTCCTTCTTAATGGGGGTTTTCAGGGGCGCAACACCAACCAGCCATTTCGCGTCTGGGGCCCCTGACGGGGAAACCTCCTCTCGGCGAAGCGTCTTACAGCAAAGGCCCCTGCTGGGGATGCCCTGGTGGGGGACGCCCTGTTAGGGCCCAAATGGGCCGAAAATGAGGTCGCTTGCTGAATTGGTGTTTGTCTTATATGCCAAAGCCCAGAATCGGGGGTCGCCAGATACAGATCTGGGGCCGGAATTTGGCCCCGAGCCCCGGGCCTGCTCTGTGGTTCAGAAGCGCCGCTCGTGTTTGGGAATGGCGTTGGAGACCGGACGAAGATGAACTGCGCAAGTTGTGTGTTGCAGAGGTATAAGGTTCTTTGCGCCAAGCTTACACTGGTTGGCATTGTTGCAGGTCCAACGCAGCTGAAGATTTGCCAGTGCCAATAGAGGTCGATCTTGTCGGGCCCCAAAATGGAGACCGGACGTAGATGAACTCTGGAGGCCACGCTTGCGTGGCCACGGCTCTCGTGTTATTTCTGGACCTGTTTTCAGAGTCGCAGTTTCTGCCCATTGAGCTTTGGCAATCTACAAGATTTGGAATTCTTTCCAGTAGATGATTTGCTAGGTTTGTTATGGTTTTTCAAAACCAGACTAGCCCTTGCTGCCATCTGAGCCCGAGTTTGCTGGCTGCTAGCATCTGCAACGAAGAGTCTGCGAAGTGGGAGGTTTCACATGGCTAGGCACGGTGTTCAACATGCTGCCGCTCATTTCAGAGTCTTCGAAGACAGGCTTTTAATAGTGGCAATGAGCTTCTTGCCATACGGTGTATTAGCAGCTTTGGGGTCCTGGAGCCAGTGGGCATGAGGCTGCAGAGCAGCTGAGACAAGTGGAAATGGCATTGACATGAGTTGCGTGCGCGTTGCGCTGGCGCCTGGCGCAGACTGCGCCAGTGTCTGTCTCTGACTGACGTTTATCGCGCCTCGTCAGCTTGCTAGATGCGCGTGAAATATCTCCCAAGAGCAATTTCCTTGTGGTAGCCGCGAGGTGCATGCGTGCATGTGTCTAAGTGGGAAGTATAATATGTGTGTTGCAACAACGTTTGTCTTGCGCGGTTTTGCGTTGTTGCGTTGCGCAGGTGTAGCGCAGGAGTGGTGCCCAAGACAACGCTGGCACGCGCACAGGAAGGGACAGTCCTTGCTCACACAGGGCTCAGCTAACGCCCGAGGTCACCCCTCCTGCAACTACAAGCCCTGTCACCTTGAATGCCCGTTGGTGAAAAGGCCCGCCGGTGCACCGGCCGAGGACGCTGAGTGACTAGGGACCACAGCTGCGCCGGATGCCATAGCACGGTCTCCGACATCGCTTCCAGTGGGGGGGGGGGCAATCCGCGTGTCTCCGACCGCTGTCGCAACCGCAGCTCGCTCCGACCCTTTCAGAGCCAGTGCAGATGAGTGGCAGTGGGAGAAAACTGGTGAAGCTGCGTGGCATGGGGATCCAGTCCAAGATGATCCCGATTCGGATGTTGATGAAGACGGCGTCAAGCAGTCTTGTCTGGGAGAAGGGCAATGGGGCTGGGCTCCAATGTCAAGCAGAATCCTGGGTCGCCGGCAAGATTTCACTGACGGCTTTGGGCTTTGTTCTCCTGGGCGTTGGCCTCCGAACCGTCGACGCTGTGCTGCTGACACTCCTGCACTCGCGCTGGCCGAACACATGGGGGCAGGTTTGCTGGATTTTCTGCGGAGCCGACTTGATCTACACACCTTGGTTGCGAAGTTTGCTGACGGTAAAATCGCCTCGTGTCCATTCAGTGATGAGTTGGTAGCTGAGGGGCGTGAGCTAGTCTTCAGCATGTTGGAAAGCGCCGGTGCGGCGCTCCCTGTGCGAGAAAAGTCACAAGGGCAGCCTTTTTATCTCGCTGCCTTGGAAGAAATCTTGAGGGTTTCTGGAGATCCAGACTATCGGGCCTTCTTCTCATCCAGTGTGTCTTTTGCGAAAGGTGTGAGGTTGGGTCATGCGTCCAAGCTTCCACGAGTGCCCGCCGTTTTCGAGAAGAAAACCAAGTGGAGGCGATACGAGGATGAAGCAGAAGGCCAGATCTTGCGTGAAAATTGCATCTCTGCGAAACAGCACGCTGACGTGGTGCAACAGCAGTTCCTTGCTGCAGTTAAACTCGGTGCCATGGACGAGATGTCCTTGAAATCTGCCAGAGATAAGTTTGGTGGAGATCCAGCAGTTGCCTCGCTGGGCGCTATTGAGAAAAAGGACGGCAGCCACCGCGTTGTGCATGATGGAACGCACGGTGTAGGAGTGAATGCACGTGTCAAGTTTAGGGTTTAGGGTTTAGGGTTTAGGGTTTAGGGTTTAGGGTTTAGGGTTTAGGGTTTAGGGTTTAGGGTTTAGGGTTTAGGGTTTAGGGTTTAGGGTTTAGGGTTTAGGGTTTAGGGTGGTCCGCGGTCGGATTCGTTCCCCCGGCGCTGGCGAGTTGCAGGCGTTGCTGCGTGAGCTTCCCGGGCGCCTGCTTCGGCCTGATTGGGGACGTCAAGAACACACCGGCTTGTGAAAATTGCAGAGCAAGATTGGGGTGCGCAGGCCTGCTGCGCCGGAGTGCCCGATGCCGACAGAGTGTGGCGTGGGTCAACAAAGTGGGGACTTTTGGAATCAGCTCAGCTGCTTATCATTGGGTCATTGGGCTCGACTCATGGCGGGACTATAGGCCGCTCTGTGGACTACTACATGCTTGGCCGAGCGGAGCTAGCGCTTTTGATATACGTTGATGACCTGCTCTGGCTAATCCGTGAGAAGCAGGGTTTGGAGCTGATCCCTTTTGATCATCTTCTATCTGGTGCTTCCCTTTGCTTGGAAAAAGTTCAGCGGAGGTTCTGTCCTTTCTTGGGTCGGCTTCGAGCTCTGCTTGCGGAGCGCGAGGATTGGATTGTCTACGCAGTCCACTGGCAGGGCGAGGATTGCTGACGTCTCTGCAGTGCTTGGGAGGCTGTCCTTTGGCTTGACTGCTTCAGGCCTTTTCTGGGGCCAGTGTATGCGTGGGTAGCCTCCATGGACAGCTGCCGCGTGTATCAGCTCCCGAAGGCGATCGTCCTGCTCTTCAAACCTTGCAAAGGCTCTGCAAGGTGAGGGGCGCCTGGTGTGCGTTGGCAGACATGTAACGACCGCCCAAGAACTTGTCCGAACCGATGCGTGTGCAGAGGGCGAGGAAATCTGGATAGGAGGCTGGGCCCTTGATTATGCCGACACGAGAAAATGTCGTTGGTTCTCTGAGAAGCTCAGCCACGGTAATGCACCCTGGCTTTACGCAGCCGGCGAGGCATACCGCCAGATTGGAGCATTGGAATTGGTGGCAACCCTGACCAGCAGTCGTTGTTTTTGGTATCCCGAAAGGTGCGGAAGGCACCTTCCGTTGGTCTGCTGCGACAGACAGCCAAGGCAATGGCCGTGTAGTAGCACGTCTGCTGACTACGAAGTTTCCATTTTTCAAAGTCTTCCTAGTGGAACTTGCCACGCAGCTGCAACGCAGGAGCGCTGAGCTGGATTTGTATTGGCTACCGCGACTTCAAAACATTGAAGCAGACGAGTTGACCAATTCGATCTTCCACCGATTCGCAGAAGGCAGCCGCTTGCGTTTTCAGCTGGCTGAGTTCAAAGGCATCGTGCTGGACTCGACGCTGGAGGAAGGCATGTCCTTGTACAAGTATATTGCGTCTTGCCGGGCGGCCAAGAGAGCCAGGCAGTCAAGCAAGCTTCCGAAGTCACAGGCTCTGCGTGCTCGGGATCCTTGGCAGTGAAAAAAGGCGCGAGGCGTTTCAACGTGCTGGTACTTGCAGGTTGTGTCACGCCCAGGGTCTCATTCGGGTGGGGTTGGGGCGGGGATTTTCGATTCGGCCCTGGTCTTGACAGGGCCGGTCAAGAGGCTCACTTGTGGCTGTTGGGATTGCTTGAGACTCGTGACTCCACCATCTCAGGGTTGAAACAGGGAAAGTTCCGTGCGCCGCTTGTGCACTTGCGTTCTCCTTGCTGCTGGGCTAGGAGGTCCCTTTGGCTGGGTTTTGTTGCGTTGCTAAATACTTCCCGCTATGAATGGCTAGACGACGTGTTCCCGAGTGTTCTTTTCACCCTTGGTGACAGCAGAGCTGGGAACATTGCCTCGGTGTTTTTCGAGTTTGCGTAGAGCGCTCCGATGAGAGAGGTCGTGGAGTTGCTAGACTGCTCGAGTCTAGAGGAGGGTTTTTGCGGTTTTGTAGCAGCGCGTGTGACGCCTTGCAGTGCCGTTTGAATTCCAGAGTGTTTGTCTGCGCGTGACTCCGAACGCATGTGGCCTCCGGCAAAGCATGCGCGGGGAGCGGTGAAGTTTGACAATGTATCTGCTGGTCACTCACACTTTGCAAACCGCCGGTAATATATAACACTGGAGGCGGCACGATCCTTTCCTGCTCCCCTTGCGTTAAACCTTTGCAATTTTCCAAAGGGTGAATCGGCTCCGCTCTAAGGGGTTTCCGATGGGTTTCCGAAACGCGGATCGGACCACCGCGGATCGGAAAAAGTGGGGGTCCGTCTGCCTGATTGCCTGCATTAGGCGTAGTTTGGACTGCACAGTGACTACATGTGTGAGGTGAGCTCGCGAGGTGTAACACTGTTGTCATTGGGCCAAGTCTGAACACTCGTCTCATTCGTCCGTTGCCATTTTGGTGATTTTTTGCACGACCCCTTGAATTGTGCACCGCAGCCGTTTGTGCAGAGTTGTTGTGAATCTTCGCCTGCATGAACTCTATTTTTGGGGTCAAGCTCGGATGTGGCTGGTTTCCTGGAACAGGAGACTTGAAAGCAGTTCTGGAGGACATCCCTGCTGATGGTTGTCTCTTCCTGCGCGTCCCCTGCGACAATCTCTCTCACCAAGGAACAACTGGATGATTTCTACGATTTCATCTTCGGTGATGAGATCATGGGACGACGTCCGGCTCCCAGAACGAATCTCTGCACCTCCACCAGGCTTTGGCTCAGGTTCAAGGGAACTTTTGGACATGTGAGGTCTATGACTCTATGTGTTGTCCCTGCTTGCGTCCATCAAAAACCAGAAGGGACCGGCCTAAGGGCAAGCCCCCAAAATCCAGAGGCAAAGGAACAAAGACCAAGCAGAAACCGGGCAAGATGGGGAATAAATATTCTTGGTCCAAGGACTCTCAGTACAAGACCCCCAGCCAGTTTGGGCGTGGCAAAGGCAAGGGCAACTGGCAGAAAGACTGGGGCCACAAGTATGACAACCCCCAGTCTCGGTGGGGCGCGTAGCCAAGTCCACTCTTTTGGACCCGAATATCTGGCCGACGAAAGAAGAACTTGGTTCCGTGCCTTCGGAGCTGGTAGAACTACCCCAGTGCTGAGAACTTCGAGGCAGGGACCTTTCACGCGAAAGCAGGCAGCCTTGGTGTGTGGCTGTAATGAGACGGAACTCTGTGTTGGAGCTATGGCGGGAATCCAGGAATCGGACAAGGTCCGAACAATCTTCGACACCGCAATCATTGGTGTGCGTGACAACATCCGACAGAACACCAATAAGAAGACGACGGCGCCTACTCTCCATGACCTCCTTCGGGGACGCTCTCTCATACCGGATGATGACTACATCCTCTTCAAGTCGGATGTAAGCCTAGTAAGCAAGCTCACCGAAGAGTGAAGGTCCTAAAGAAAGACTGGAAATGCATGGTAGCGTCCATCAAAGAGTTGTTCTGGGTCAACATGGTTGGCACCTATGGGGTGGCGTCAGCTCAGCTTTACTGGGGACGCCTGGCGGCTTTGCTGGTGAGGTTGACCTACCACCTTTCTTCAGAGTTCCTCTGGGTCTTGGTCTTTGTAGACGACTTCGTGCTCCTTGAGAAAGAAGAGGCCTTGGCAGGGGTCTTCCTTCTCTTCATGGAAATCGGCTGGGATACCTGCGTGGCTTCCTCCAGACAAAAAGAGTGTTGTTTTGCCGGCCTTAGATGCAGCTGCAGCTCATTAAATTCTCGTAGTGTCATCACTTCGCTCATGGGCCGCCTCTAATGGGCTTTTCCAGCGGCGGCGGCGCGTCTTCAACCCTTCTATGCCTGGGAACAAAAGATCCAGAGAAAGTGTGCTCCAGGCGCCCTGGTGCGATTTCTGGCGACCCTCATCATGCACATTGTGACCTCTCCTCCAGTGCCTCCTTTTCTTCGTGTGGCTTTTGCACCACTCCATGGAGCAAGTGATGCCGGTGAGTCCGACACCAGAGCCACGATTGGAGGCTGGTTGTCGGATATCCCGAACCCGGACAAGAAGGATGTTTACTGGTTTGCCATGGATGTCAACCAAACCAGCTGGCTTCAACCTCTCCTGGAACAAACCTCACGAAAGAAGAGGATTGCTGCCTTGGAGCTGCTTGGATATAGTATCCTCTTCCTCCTCACGGCGCGTCGAACAGAGAGCTCCAGGATGGATATCCACGTCCCACTTTGTACAAACAATGAGGGCAATGCCTACTCTGCGTCAAAACGATCGGCCAAGAAGTGGCCATGCTCGGCTTTGCTCATGGAGCTGGCAGCCCAAGAGACCCAACTAGCCTGCTACGCCAAGATTGAGCACGTCAAAAGGTGCTCGAACACCTGGGCGGACCAGCTCACGCATCTGGACTTTGATGGCTTCATGGGCTCCAGGCGCCGTGACGTTTCTTCTTCTTTTGAGCCGGGCTGGATTCTTTTGCCAAAGCTCCTTCGTCTTCATAGCACAATTTCCGTGAAGAGTTAGTTCTCTGCACGGTTGCCTCTGGTGCCGATAGGGAGACTTTCTCGTTGGAGATTGTTTCTAGTTACAGAGACACAGCGAAGGCTGTCTTGCTTTGATTCATTTTAACTCGGAATACGCGGATTGTCTCATAGTACAGAGATGCTGTCCTACTCTGATTGATATTCTCGGATCACGCGGATCGGTTTTAGCTCGGACTTACTCGGAATACGAGGGGCGCTTACGCACTCTTCTGTGCTTAAGGTGTGGGGTGGGCGTTGTATCGGTCAGGCCCTTTAGGGGGCCCCACCGATGCTCATCACACGCCGGGAAACACGGGAGTTTAGCATGTTTTGCCACCTATACACGGATCGGACCACCGCGGATCGGAAAAAATGGGGGTCCATCTGCTTGATTGCCTGCATTAGGCATAGTTTGGACTGCGCAGTGACTTCACGATGTCGCAAGTGACTCGAGGCCGAGACAATATCCCCGAAACCTATACGACACCTCACCGAAACATACGGACCCTTTGGTCTCAGAGGTGGAGGATCGACGGGCAGACATATATCCAGATGCACAAACTGCCAAGCCCGAACCCGAACCTGAAAGCCTAGACTCTGACAGCGCAACCCAGCGCCAAGACGCCGTGGGCTGACACTTACCCCAAAGCTAAAACAAAGGCCTTCGTGAAGCCCCGTAGCAAAACGGCTGATTGAGAAGTTGCCTCAGTTTTTGTCCTCAGCCTTCGGCAGTGCTTGCTGAAGATGGGAGAGCAAGATCTCCGACTCTGCGCTTGCCATAAAAGCCGCGATGTTGCTCTGTGCCCTGTTGCCGGCGCTCGTTGGCGCAGCCAGCCCTGGGAATTGGACAGCCCAGCGCGGAGGCTCCAGGGCCGTACTATCGCAAGCGTTTCACAAGTGCAGGCCGCAAAAATGCTTTGCAGCTCTGCAGCCCAGCCAGCCGCCCAGGCTCGGGTCAGGACGAGGTCCATGCTTTGCAGGCCAGGCAGGGCAGCGCAGGGCATCGGAGGCATCGTTAATATTCTTTAATCGCAAACTATTTAGCATAACTTACTAAAGGGCTTAGAAGACATCGCGCATCAAGCTGAGAACGCAACGCTTCAGACTAATCGTAGTGCATCGTTTTTTCAAACCGAATACGCATAGGCTTTGCAGGCCGGCGCTGGGTTTCCATGCAAAAAGTCTCCATACGGAGCATTCTGGTCAGAAGGCGCCGGGTTCCAGTACCTAGCGCCTAGGCTTGAAGAACTTTCTGCCTTGGTGGGGAACCGAGCTTTCAAGTGCAGATAATGTTGTAAAAAGCTGAAAATGGCAGACCAGAGCTCCAAGCACCAGGCTTCCTTGCAGGTTCCAGGTCGGGCGGAAGCTTGGAAGTTGTTCCTGGATATGTTTTTGAACGGAACGTGGTTTCTTGCTAAAACAAACCTTCCGCGTCAATGGGGTTTAGTGTATCGGGCTCCCTAGTGATTCCCGGTGCAGGTGGACAAGGACAACAACCTGGTGCTTGCAGGGTACACCTACAGCTCTCTCGACGGGCACAGCAACGCCGGCTGGGAGGACGTTTTCCTTATGAGCTTCACAAACATCGGCACCTGGCGATGGACAACCCAGCGTGGAGGCTCCAGGGCCTTTCTAATGCACGATGTTTCGGCTGCAGCAGTGTGCCGATGCGGACCACAAAAATGTTTTGCTGCTCCGCGCCCCAGGTTCAGGCTCTGACGTCGCATTCGCTTTGCAGGCGGGGCCGGGTAGTGCAGGGCATCGGGCAGGCCGGCAGCGCTGTGTTTCCATGCAAAAAGTCTCCATACGGAGTTCGGGGCATTCTGGTCAGAAGGCGCCGCTCTCCAAAACGAAGGACCGAGACTTTAAGAACTTTCCGCCTTATTGGGAGTGCAGATCATGTTGTAGAAAAGCCGAAAATGCAGATCAGAACTCCAAGCACCGGGCTTCCTTGCAGGTTCCAGGTCGTGCGGAGGTTTTGAAGTTGTTTCTGGAGATGATTTTGAAGAGGATGTGGTTTCTTACTGTAAAAACAGCTTCAGGGTCAATGGGGGTTAGCGGTTAGAGTGGCGCTCCCCGGTGATCCCCGGTGCAGGTGGACCAGAACAACAACCTGGTGGTTGCAGGCGCAACCGGAAGCTCTCTCGACGGGCACAGCAACGCCGGCGAGGACGACGTTTTCCTTATGAGCTTCACAAACACCGGCACCTGGCGATGGACAACCCAGCGTGGAGGCTCCAGGGCCTTTTATAACGCACGATGCTTCGTCTGCAGCAGTGTGCCGATGCGGACCACAAAAATGCTTTGCTGCTCCGCGCCCCAGGTTCAAGCTTTGACAAGGCATACGCTTTGCAGGTGGGGCCGGGTAGTGCAGGGCATCGGGCTGTGAGGCCGGCAGCGCTGTGTTTCCATGCAAAAAGTCTCCATACGGAATTCAGGGCATTCTGGTCAGAAGGCGCCGCTCTCCAAAACGAAGGACCGAGACATTAAGAACTTTCCGCCTTGTTGGGAGTGCAGATAATGTTGTAGAAAAGCTGAAAATGCAGATCAGAACTCCAAGCACCGTGCGGAGGTTTTGAAGTTGTTTCTGGAGATGATTTTGAAGAGGATGTGGTTTCTTACTGTTAAAACTTAAAACAGCTTCAGGGTCAATGGGGGTTAGTGGTTAGAGTGGCGCTCCCCGGTGATCCTCGGTGCAGGTGGACCGGGACAACAACCTGGTGGTTGCAGGGCGAACCGCGAGCTCTCTCGACGGGCACAGCAACGCCGGCGATTACGACGTTTTCCTTATGAGCTTCACAAACACCGGCACCTGGCGATGGACAACCCAGCGTGGAGGCTCCAGGGCCTTTCTAACGCACGATGCTTCGTCTGCAGCAGTGTGCCGATGCGGACCACAAAAATGCTTTGCTGCTCCGCGCCCCAGGCCCATATCCCGATTGCGTAAACGCTTTGCAGGCCAGGCGCGGCGCTGTAGAATTGGGTTACTGGCTCCCTGGTGATCTCCGGTGCAGGTGGACAAGGACAACAACCTGGTGGTTGCAGGGTACACCTACAGCTCTCTCGACAGGCACAGCAACGCCGGGCTGGCAAGTCCCGACGTTTTCCTTATGAGCTTCACAAACACCGGCACCTGGCGATGGACAACCCAGCGGAGTGGAGGCTCCAGGGCCTTTCTCACGCACGATGCTTCGTCTGCAGCAGTGTGCCGATGCGGACCACAAAAATGCTTTGCTGCTCCGCGCCCCAGGTTCAGGGGCTGACAAGGCATACGCTTTGCAGGTGGGGCCGGGTAGTGCAGGGCATCGGGCTGTGAGGCCGGCAGCGCTGTGTTTCCATGCAAAAAGTCTCCATACGGAATTCAGGGCATTCTGGTCAGAAGGCGCCGCTCTCCAAAACGAAGGACCGAGACATTAAGAACTTTCCGCCTTATTGGGATTGCAGATAATGTTGTAGAAAGCTGTAAATGCAGATCAGAACTCCAAGCACCGTGCGGAGGTTTTGAAGTTGTTTCTGGAGATGATTTTGAAGAGGATGTGGTTTCTTACTGTTAAAACTTAAAACAGCTTCAGGGTCAATGGGGGTTAGTGGTTAGAGTGGCGCTCCCCGGTGATCCTCGGTGCAGGTGGATCAGGACAACAACCTGGTGGTTGCAGGGTACACCGGGAATTCTCTCGACGGGCACAGCAACGCCGGCGAGGACGACGTTTTCCTTATGAGCTTCACAAACACCGGCACCTGGCGATGGACAACCCAGCGTGGAGGCTCCAGGGCCTTTCTAACGCACGATGCTTCGTCTGCAGCAGTGTGCCGATGCGGACCACAAAAATGCTTTGCTGCTCCGCGCCCCAGGTTCAGGGGATGACAGCGCATACGCTTTGCAGGTGGGGCCGGGTAGTGCAGGGCATCGGGCGCCGGCAGCTCTGTGTTTCCATGCAAAAAGTCTCCATACGGAGTTCGGGGCATTCTGGTCAGAAGGCGCCGCTCTCCAAAACGAAGGACCGAGACTTTAAGAACTTTCCGCCTTATTGGGAGTGCAGATCATGTTGTAGAAAAGCCGAACATGCAGATCAGAACTCCAAGCACCGGGCTTCCTTGCAGGTTCCAGGTCGTGCGGAGGTTTTGAAGTTGTTTCTGGAGATGATTTTGAAGAGGATGTGGTTTCTTACTGTAAAAACAGCTTCAGGGTCAATGGGGGTTAGCGGTTAGAGTGGCGCTCCCCGGTGATCCCCGGTGCAGGTGGACCAGAACAACAACCTGGTGGTTGCAGGCGCAACCGGAAGCTCTCTGGACGGGCACAGCAACGCCGGCTTTTCGGACGTTTTCCTTATGAGCTTCACAAACACCGGCACCTGGCGATGGACAACCCAGCGTGGAGGCTCCAGGGCCTTTCTCACGCACAATGCTTCGTCTGCAGCAGTGTGCCGATGCGGACCACAAATATGCATTGCTGCTCCGCGCCCCAGGCTCAAGTTATGACAGCGCAAACGCTTTGCAGGTGGGGCCGGGTAGTGCAGGGCATCGGGCTGTGAGGCCGGCAGCGCTGTGTTTCCATGCAAAAAGTCTCCATACGGAGTTCGGGGCATTCTAGTCAGAAGGCGCCGCTCTCCAAAACGAAGGACCGAGACTTTCAGAACTTTCCGCCTTGTTGGGAGTGCAGATAATGTTGGAAAGAAGCTGAAAATGCAGATCAGAACTCCAAGCACCGGGCTTCTTTGCAGGTTCCAGGTCGTGCGGAGGCTTGGAAGTTGTTCCTGGAGATGATTTTGAAGAGGATGTGGTTTCTTATTGTTAAAACAGCTGCAGGGTCAATGGGGGTTAGCGGTTAGAGTGGCCCTCCCCGGTGATCCCCGGTGCAGGTGGACAAGGACAACAACCTGGTGGTTGCAGGGCACACCTCCAGCTCTCTCGACAGCTTTGTCGACGGGCACAGCAACGCCGGCGGTTACGACATTTTCCTTATGAGCTTCGAGGCTTGTGAAGGGGCATCAATGTAAACTTTCCTGTTGGGCTGGCGCTCTCGACGTGTGAGCGTGGGCAAGTTAGCATTGCTGTGATCGCGTAGGATCCGCGATGAATAATCGCACGAAACAGTTGCCTTTGTGAGGCTTTTCAATCACACCCGACAGCTGCAGTCCTCCAAGAAATATTTCTGAGCATACGCATTCACGGTCTTCATAACCACCATGCTTGCCCCTGCTCTTGGCCTTCCGGACAGCCTGCGCTTCCATCCACACACCTTTCGCCTTTTCCAGGGCGGTCACAGCTCCAAAGCCACGTCGCGCAAGTGCATCGGTCCATGTCCTGTGTGCCTCCAAGGCCAACGCTTCCGCCCTCTTCTCATCTGAGCCTCCTGAAGCTTCTCGTCGTCGACGTTGCTTTCCTCGTTCGCAGAGTCCCCCTGCCTCATACTACTCCACCGGTCCTGCTACTGGTAGTCGGCGGTGTGGTGCTGCTCGTCATACTCTGCACCGTGAAGCCTCCATGACCGGCCGTGCCTCGATGTCCAAGTAGCTGCTTATCCCACAGACTCTGCGATGCGGACGCCGCCACAGATCTATGAAGTCCGAGCTGTTTGTCGTTGTGCTGAGGATGTCACGCATGGCAGATTGCACCATCCTGGAAGAACGCCTACAAGGAACGAATCCGCCACGGAGAGTAATGTTGTCCTCGCTTTGGTGTGTAGGGTCATGTAGGGGCCCCCCCTCTGCCCCTGAACAATCGAAGCTGGTTTTTGCTCTCTTTACACGGTCCGGGGATTTTATATGGTTTCAACAGGGATGAGCTTAGATGAGTTTAGAAGGGACAGCGAACTTGGCAATCGATTGTAAAGGGCGGGGCACGGAATTTTCTTACGACGTCCCGACGATTTGACTTAATTCGGGATCCCACCGGGCACCCCCAAACAGTCAGGGTGCCAATCCCGGCCCATCTGACTTTAAACAGAGGGCCCCCACGAAAGCGAGTGCAACATTACGGGTTTTAAAGCCCCCCACAGCCGGCATTATCCCTTCCTGCGAATGTAAAAATGGGTTTTAAATTCGCAAGGTTGGGTTGTGGCAACCCTCTCTTACGAATCCAAAAAGTGACTTTGTAGCTTTCTGAGATGATCTCTGAGATGATCGTTTTCTGGTGGTTTTGCCCCTTGCGAAGTCAATATCGGCCTGAATTTGAGTTCATAAAAAGGTTTAGAAGGGGAGTTGCGCCCCACTGGATGCACTAGTAGCACGGTTGTTATCATCGTGCGGGCATGGACACTCTGGCCAACGGATGCAAAGCTATCATGGATGGTCTCATCGTGCGGGCATAGAGGCTCTAGCAAACCTATGTGCTGTTTCAAAGACATTGCCATCGTGCGGGCATGGATGCTTTTCCAATGGATGCACTGGTAGCATGGATGTTATTATCGCGTGGGCGGGCATGGATGCTCTGGACAATGCATGTACATGCAACAGCGAGTGGATGCACTGGTAGCACGGACATTATCATCGTGAGCATGGATGCTCTGGCCAATGGATGCATTGGTAGCTTGGACGATAGCGCCGTACCAGAAACCCAGAAGCACAGAAACAGATAGCGAAGAACACAGCAACCAAAAACCACAAAGCACACAATAAACAGGTATATAAATCACACAAACGAACAAAACAATCAAGAAGCCATTGTGCGGTAAAACCCCCATGTGCACAAAGGAGAAGTGAGCCTTGATTCGAAAGCAGTTCATATTGGCGGTCGAACTACACGTATAACCGTAGCGGGCCATTCAAAGAAGTTTACCTGGGCTTCTAAGCCCTATATTGTAGCTTTCGATCCTTGAGGCGCAACTGCATCGCCTTGCAGGAACATGCGTGGACAAATCAGCCGGCCAGCAATATCTTCATCTCTGGATTGCGCGAGCACATTAGCGGTAGCATGTTCGCTAATTTACTGACAGTGGACTAAGCCCAATCTCTGCATGTTTGAGCCTGCCCTCATGCAGAAATCAAAAGCAGGTGCTTTAAACAGGGGCCAAAGTTCTAAATGCTGAGATATCGTGGTCTTGTATCGAATGCGAAACATCCGAACACAAATGCGGATGTTTAAGCAGAGGATGAGTTTCGAGGAAGCGCGGACCAAGCACTACAGTACATGCAGCGCATGTCCGCAATCATTCATGTACGGGCATGAAGCAGGCGACAGAAGCGCGTCGGCTGTAACTACTGAAAGGCCACATGCAACAAGCGGACAGTCACTCGCCGCTGAAGCTTGTTTTGCAATGCGCGCCCCGGCTAATTAGGCATGTTCATGTGGAAATTGCCTCTACAAGGGATTGCAGCCAGATCTGCATAGGTGCTTATAAGCAAGGGCTAGATGGCTAGATGGTGCTTGTGCGTATTGTGCTTGGCATCAGCAACGACACACCATGTCCACGTCCGACAACTGTTGCGCTCCACATGAGTGCTCCGCCCTGTCTACAGCTGCGCGGTCCCACACTGATGTTAGCGCGCGCGGCAGAGAGGCATGCTGGGGGGCAGGAAGCCTACAGCTAGGTATTGCAGCATTGTGCCCTGCGTATCTTGGATACTGATGAGTCAATTCTGGGCATTGTGGCCTTAGACGACAACTGTCAAAGGCAAATCGCCAGGTCACCTGGTCAGAATACGAGACTAACGAGGAAAAGGCTGGAAAGCTTTTGCGCGCGGTTAGATGACCTCATGAATCAAGCTTGGACATGCTGCCACGCCGTGGTATTGTCCCTTCCAAGGAATCCGTGCAAGAACTCCAGAACCTGTAGGATCCGCGTCTTTCCGGGCCCCTCCCCCTGCCCCTCCTGGGCCATGGCGTGGGGGCTTTTGGCGACTTCCCGCTTGGAATCTTTTGCTGTCCTTTTTGGAAAACAGGTCAAGAAATGAATCGATGAAAGCACTTTCTTACAAAGGCTTGGGCTGTCAAGATCAATCGGCTCAACCTCTGGCCTCAATGCCACCTTGAAAAAAGTGATGCAGCCTTCACGCTGCAGTTGTTCAATCAATGCACAATCACGCTTGAAACTCGCACCTTCCTCAGTTCTGTGCACGAGCGCAAGTCAGTCAAAGGGCAACGCTTCCTCGATGCAGGCTTCGGCACCTTGGAACTTGAATTCCTTTTTAAGGTCCTCGCTTCTCAGACACTTCTCCCCAAACTGCAACACTTGCAAGACGCTGCTGGAATGCTTGTTCAAAGCCCGAGAGAGAGAGAGAGAGAGAGTACTGTACCCTTTGCCAACCCACTTCGGGTTTAGAAACAGAAGCTGTTCTAAGTTAAGTAGAACACACCTAGACCTAGCTGGTCCTTGAGGGCTTCGCAAGAGGCTGCGGTAGTCGTGGTGACTACACAGCTGTGCACAGTACTGCGATGCCGAAGGATCCGAAGGGAGAGCCGCCACAACAGATACTTAGATCCCTGGAACTTTCCACGCCTGAGCCCCTGAACGGATCCCGCCGCGCAAGAACCAAGAAACTTCCACAAGACGTGTCAAGAAGCTGGGCTTTCCCACGCTCCACTGCCACAAAAAACTTTTGAACCAACTACGACTACAGTAGTCGCGACAAAGCTTTTCAACTATACAAAGGTTTTGGTATGCCAAAATCGTAAACATTCCTTCTCCTTCTGCTTCTCCTTCTCCCTCTCTCCTTTTTCTCTTTTTTTTTCTCTCTCTCTCTCTCTCTTTCTCCTTCTCTCTTTCTCTCTCCTTCTCTCTCCTTCTCTCTCTCTATCTCTCCTTCTCTTTCTCTCTCTCTCCTCTCTCTCTCTCTCCTTTCTCTCCTTTCTCTCCTCTCTTTCTCCTCTCTTTCTCCTCTCTTTCTCCTCTCTCTCTCTCTCTCTCCTCTCTCTCCTCTCTCTCCTCTCTTTCTCCTCTCTCTGTCCTCTCTCTCCTCCTCTCTCTCTCCGCTCTCTCTCCTCTCTCTCTCCTCGCTTTCCTCTCTCTCTCTCTCTCTCTCTTTCCTTTTCTTTCCTCTCTCTCTCTCTCCTCTCTCTCCTCTCTTTCTCCTCTCTCTGTCCTCTCTCTCCTCTCTCTCTTCTCTCTTTCCTCTCTCTCTTTCCTCTCTCTCTTTCCTCTCTCTCTTTCCTCTCTCTCTTTCCTCTCTCTCTTTCCTCTCTCTCTTTCCTCTCTCTCTTTCCTCTCTCTCTTTCCTCTCTCTCTTTCCTCTCTCTCTTTCCTCTCTCTCTTTCCTCTCTCTCTTTCCTCTCTCTCTTTCCTCGCTCTCTTTCCTCGCTCTCTTTCCTCTCTCTCTTTCCTCTCTCTCTTTCCTCTCTCTCTTTCCTCTCTTTCTTTCCTCTCTCTCTTTCCT